GTGCTCTTTATATACGAACAAATCAGGAATCAGTCTGTAATCCCTAACTAGTTTATTGAAATGTTCCATGACATATTTCCAAATAGCAGTTGAAATGTCATAGTCAAGCTTTCTCAAAGATGCCGCTTCTGTTAACAAATGAAAAAACTCCTATGGTACATTTATGCTTGTATAAGCTATATTGTTCAATTCATTCCTGGCAGGAGGGAATTCTGTTTTGACTGGACATAAACAAGAACTGAATCCTCTGCTTACAACTTTGCATGTGAGACGACATGAAGGATTTTCACAGACTAGCTTCTGGGCTGTACATTTCAGACCTTGCTTCTCTGCCACCACCCACATGCGTCTGGTATCTCAGTAGAATGTATGCCATTGGGTGAGTTAGCACAGTGGGTAGCGGAAACATTCCTGGAGGCCACACAACTAGCAAAAATGTGACTCTGTGCAGAACTAACTGCAAACCACTTACATATATTCAAATACATAAATATATCTGATTAAACCTTCCTTCCCAGGGTCCCCCAAATGCCCACAGCCATTTCAACACCATCACACCCGAGGGGATTAAGGGAGTGTTGAGGTGAAAAGAGACAGTGGTCTCAGCCATTTATAGTTTAAATATCCCATTTTTGCAAATTTTATTAAAACGTGTCACCACATGAACACACTGCTAGGGCACCTTCTGGTCCATCTTGGGCTTGTGTAAATGAGACACCCTAAAGCTTAAGCTCATTCACTTCCTGGCAAATTCGCATTGGCCACCACCGTTCCCAACATCTTCCAGGCCCTGGTCCCAGCCCTCCTGGATTATTGCCATCACCTCCTGTTTCTTCCTCGCCCCTTTCAGCCTTAACAAAGTGGCCAAAGTGACCCTATAAAAACTTAAGTCAGATCATGTCATATCTCTGTCCGGAAGTGTCCGGTGTTTTCCCATCTCACTCTGAGTAAAAGCCAAGCAGCCCAGAAGGCCCTGCAGGACCAGGCTCTTACTGTCTTTGTGACCTCATCTCTTGGTGTCCACCCCTACCTCACTCCAGCCACATGAGCCTCCTGCAGTTTCTGGAATGGTCAGGCACACTGTTTCTCTCACCTGTTCAGAGAAGCCTTGCTTGTCTTTGCCTGACTTCCCTATTTAAAAACGCACCCCCTCACCCATTGTATTTCTTCATAAAATGTACCACCATCTAACGCAGTACACTTGGTTGTCTGTCTTGCTCCTCTAGAACGTGAGTCCCATGAGGTGTGGTTCTTTTGCTGTATCCCAGTGCCTTGAACAGTGCCTGACACATGGTGGCCAACTTGTGGTAAACACCGTGGTCCCCGCCTTCAACTTCCCATTCTCTAGCCCCACCAGAAGCCTGCAGGACCACCTTCTGAGAAAGAGCAGAGTCCGATTACTAAAAGGCCAGTTTCCCTAAAAGAGAAGAGCATAGGTGAGCTAGTGACAGGGTTTTCTAGCATTTGAGCAACTTGTTTTTGTGAAGAACTGTCTTCTTGTGAAGTGAATCACCAGAGGATCTGATCACTGAGCTATAAACCGCCTACACCTCCTCCCCCATCCCTAAAGATGTAATCCAGGGTCATTGTGGTATTAATAGGAAATTGCCAAATCATATAATTTCTCTTTCCGGTTCAAGGGAGAAAATACAAATAAAAAGAAAAGACAGAAGAAAAAGAGACATTTGTTCTTGCTTATCTTTTCTTCTTTTTCGCTTGCCTTTCTCCTGACTTTAGGAGGATAAAATAAACCAGAAAATATTACAGAAAAGCAAGAAA